CGCTGCTGCTCCTCACGCTCTAGACCAGCACCTCTCACGCTGAGCCCCAGACTCTCCAGCTCCAGAAACACCACCAGCTCCAGCACCGCCACCAGCTCCAGTACCCTCGGAACGGGCAGCTGCGGCAGGTGCACGCTCAGCGCCAACGCCAACACCCCCAGAACGGGCGGCTCCTGTAGGTGCACGAACAGCTCCAACGCCAGCACCCCCAGAGCGAGCACCGCCAGAGCCCTCACCTCGAGCACCAACACCCTCAGAGTCCGCAGTGGCCGGCAGAGGAAGCGCTGACGGCTGCTGCGGAGGCTGTGAGGATGACTGAGGGGAGGGAGGAGAGACCTGGGGGGGTACCGAGGGGGGGGGAGTAGCGTGGGACACACCAGACGGAGCAGGAACAGGAGGGGGTACCTGAGGAGCAGAGGCGGGAGGAGGAAGAGCTGGAGCCAGGAAGAGGGGAGGGGGGGGAACCGGGAGACCTCGACAGGGGTACCTGACGTAGTAGGGGACGGACTCGTCGAAACGGACGTCACGAGAGTCAAAGAACCGGTGGGAGGGAGGGTGGTAAAAGGTGAAGTCAGAGGAGTCCTCTGGGAAACCAAGGAAGACACAGGGGACGGCGCGAGGTGAGATCTTGTCCGCAGAGGTGTCGCGGACAAGAGCCAAGCACCCCCAGACACTAAACCTCGACGCAACACCAGGGGACCCTGTCCAAAGACTGGTCGGTGAAGCCCCTGGCCGTGAGACGCGAGGCCAGAGGTTCAACTGGTGAGCGGCGTACCGAGCCGCGTAGGGCCACAGAAAATGGGGCGCACGGGCAAGAGGACCAGACAAGCGCAGCCACGTGATCTGTTGGAAGAAAAACGCTCGGACCTCCTCACTGTTGCCTCTGCCTCTTCCGCGCCTCCTCCTCGTCTCTTTGAGGGGTGCGGTCTCAAGAAGATCGATGGTGAGCTCAGTGGGATGCTTCAGAAGAAGCGCGTCGCGGGCTGTGGCTAGGCGGTCAGGGAGTCGAGTGACTAGCCAGTGAATAGTGAGCCACATAGGGGGCGGGGCAAGGGCAAGCTGGTCCTCAGTGCAAGCAGCGCGAAAGCGAGCGTCAAGAGAGCGCAGGTGGGTAGCGAGGTCAGAGACAGTCTCAAAGGAGGCGAGGTCAGGGTAGATAAAGGGTACGAGGAGGCGACTGAGCGAAGCAGAGGAGGGTGTGGAGTAGCGAGCAACAATAGCCTTATATAGATCTGCAGCAGACTCGACCTGAGCGAAGTGGACTGCCTCTGTCGGCGGGAGAAGGTCGGTCAGGGCGAGGCAGGCAGCGGCGTCACGAGACTCCCACACGTCACGAGCGAGGAGCTGGCGCTGGTAGTCGGCCTCCTGCTCAGAAGTAGGCGGTGGGGTAGTGGGCAGCGGCCGAGGCTGCAGAGGGGCGGTCTGAGCGCCGGACGCGTGTGCGAACAGGTGCACGCCATCCTGCCGCTGGCTCTTAAGGTGGCGCTGCGCCTGCGTAAGCCACGTACTAAAGTCAATCGGTCTCCCCTCAGGGTCAAAGCGAAGTACTCGGGAGGTCGCCATAGGGGGCGAAACTGAGAGAGCGCGGCTGCCAGCCGCGGGAGGGGGGAGACCGTCAGTAGCGTGTAGGCGTGCAGGCGGGCAGGCGGCGCGGCATGTGGACAGGCGGGCGGCGCAGCGCGCTGGCTTGCGGGCGGCGCGGTGAGAAGGGGTGGGGAGGAGGGCGCGACGGTAGGAAAGGGGCGGGGAGGAGGGCACAACGGTAGGAAAGGGGCGGGGAGGAGGTCGCGACGGTAGGAAAGGGCGGGGAGGAGGGTGCGCGACGGTAGGAAGGGGCGGGGAGGAAGGCGCGACTGTAGGAAAGGGCGGGGAGGAGGCGCGACGGTAGGAAAGGGGCGGGGAGGAGGTGGGCGACGGGATTGGGAGGGGAGAGGGCGACGCGCGGGGCTGCGGGGCGGCTCAGCGTGCGGCGCGCGGGCGCAGCGGGGCTGCGGCGCGACGCAACGAGCAGAGCGCGTGGGGCAGAGCGGGCAGGGCAGCGCCCGCGAAAAAAAAACAAGGGAAAATGCGCACTGCAGCTGTGGCGCGCGGCCAGCAGGGGCAGCGCGACTCGTAGGAGGGCAGGGCGGGCGCGGGGTAACGCGGTAACCGCAGGCGATTTTAAGGTGGGTCCTAAAGGAAATAGTTCTAAGGTCCTAAGGACCTCCTGCTCTATACCCTTGATTAGGTCAAGGGGGGGGGAGTACAAGAATGTCAAGAGAAATTGTGTACCCCCTAGTGTTAACCCCCATATAGCCTATCTAAACTAAACATGCATATAATTGGCAACCCGCTAGAGGCTATAACATTTGACAAGAAGGTTCAACAATTCACTAAAAACGCTTCCGCTATTACATCATTCCTACTCAGGATCTTAGCCTTGAAAAGATCCTAAGGGCTTTTCTCAGCCCAACACTTTCTACCCCTCCAGTCTCGTTTCTCTTGACTTGACACCAGCTTTGCTTGATGTACAAGACACCCACGTCACTTGCTACCAGTATCTCTCACCCTCATCCCACTAGCATCACTCAATGCAGCTATCACGTGCCGCGTCGTGGGGAGCGTGTCCCGCACACTAGGCAGGTGGAACGGCGCTCGTTGTGTCCTCTGAAACAGCCATGGAGTCAAAACACGCTTGAACTCATCAAAGCTAGTGGCTAGTAGTGCTTCCCAATCCACCTGTCGTGGTTTGGTCAGGGGTGGAGTGGGGTGAAGAAGGCTATGCTGAGTTAGCCACCGATTCATGTGCAGAAGCGGAAAGGTGAAAACGAAGGCTCCACCAGCAGCATTTAGAAGCGAGAAGAAGCGGATGGATGGATGCAGAAATGTTGCTCGAACAGAAGCAATTGGAATGAGACCTGGGAGAGGAAGGAATGAGGCAGTACGGGGTCCTATGCAGCATCGACTCACGAGGAGGTCTCGAGGAACATGCGCAGTGGTTTGCATGTCGGCAGCCATGGAGAGGGCGAGGATGGACGTGAGACCCACCATGGCCGACCCGCGAGACAGCGGCATCAGCTGGAACCTGCACACCTCACCGTGGGATGGGATGTGTGCACAGGTTGAGCAGACAAAGAACGTGGGAGCGGGGAAGAGGAATCGGTGAGAGGTGTGAACAGGCAGAGTGGTGTGCGGTGGAGGCGGGAGATGTGAATAACGAGGACGATGAGATGGGTTTGGGTGTGCATAACAAGGGTTGTGACGGCGTGGTGTGCTGGGACAGCTGCAACAACAAGTAGCTGGATGGCTGGGCAAGAACAGGTCGGGCTTTGGAAGGAGCAGCCAGTGCGCAGCAGCAGGTAAAACGGGGCCGTCGCCCGTTACACAGAGCAGTAGTAAGCAACGGCGAGGATCTGATCTGATCTGGGGTGCACTGGCGCTACGCATACAGGCGGGCGGCAGGCGGACCCACCAGTGGTAAGCGATGGTGAGGATCTGATCCTGGATGCGCTGGCATATCCATACCAAGCGCTTTTGCGTGCGTGTGTGTGTGCATGCGATGATGCGTGCGTGCGTGCGTGCGTGCGTGCGTGCGTGCGTGCGTGCGTGCGTGCGTGCGTGCGTGCGTGTGTGTGTGTGTGTGTGTGAGTCTCCTTTTTGGGTTGTATTTTAGAGGCGCTTCAATAGTAGGCGATGGTGAGAATGTGATCCTGTATGCGCTGGTGATATCCATACGGGTGGCCAGCAAGCAGACCCACCAGAAGTAAGCAATGGCGATGATCTGATCGTGGATGCGCTGGTGGTACACGTGTGGGCAGTCTCTGAGAATGAAAGAAGATTAAGAAGAAAAAAAGCGCACTAAAGAATACCCATGTGGCCGGGCTGGTGTCAGGAGGACCCACCAGTAGTAAGCGATGGCGATGATCTGATCCTGGATGCGCTCGCGGTACACGTGTGGTGAAGTGGCCTTAGTGCGGTGGTCCAGTGTCGCCGCCATGAATCCCTGCCACGCCGCTGTGAGCTCCGAGTCGAATGCATTCCACCGCGCTGCATCGATGGGGGTCACCGTGTCAAAGTCCACTGCCAGGGGGCTGGAGGGAGGGGGGAATGGGGTGTGTGATGGGATGAGAACTGGTGCGGTGGTCTAGTGTTGCCTCTATGAAGCCCGGCCCCGCCGCTGTGAGCTCCGAGTCAAACGAATTCCACCGCGCTGCGTCAATTGGGGTCACCGTATCAAAATCCACTGCCAGGGGGTTGGGTGGATGGGGGAGTGTTGATGGGGGGTGGTGTGATGGAATGGGGAGAAGAGAGAGGGGATAGTTGTGGTCCAGTGCAGCCGCCATGAAGCCCTGCCACGCCGCAGTGAGCTCCGAGTCGAATGCATTCCACCGCGCTGCGCCCACTGTGGTGAGCTGAGCGTGTCAAAGTCCCCTGCCAACGTGCTGGGGGGAGGGGGGTTGATGGGTGAAAGCGATGTGAATATGAGAGGAGAGTGGGGAATCACAGTCTACCTCCCCTGGTCTGCTTTGGTTAACGAGTCAAAGTCCCCTGCCAATGGGCTGGGAGAAAAGAGGCGGGAAGATGATGGGGTGGTGATGATGTGATTGGTAGAGGAGAGGAGAAATGGAACGGGTAAGGAGAAGAGGGCAAGGGGAGGATACGAGTATACAGATGTATGCATTTGTGCATGTGTGTTGGGTATATGTCCATGTGTGCATGTGTCCATGTGTGCATGTGTGCATGTGTCCATGTGTGCATGTGTGCATGTGTGCATGTGTGCATGTGTGCATGTGTGCATGTGTGCATGTGTGCATGTGTGCATGTGTGCATGTGTGCATGTGTGCATGTGTGCATGTGTGCATGTGTGCATGTGTGCATGTGTGCATGTGTGCATGTGTGTGTGCATGTGTGCATGTGTGTGTGCAGGAACCACATGACTCACCGTTTTTGTAATCTAAATTCTGTGCCGCCCAAATCTTTCCTGCACGGGAGGGTGGGCGGGGAGGGGCAACCAATGAGGATTAAGAACCAGGACAGGTGCATGCAGCTGGCATGGGAGGTAAGGGGAAGGGTGCAGATGAGAGCATGAAAGCATCTTGAGCATGAAAGCATCTTGAGCATGAAAGCATCTTGAGCATGAAAGCATCTTGAGCATGAAAGCATCTTGAGCATGAAAGCATCTTGAGCATGAAAGCATCTTGAGCATGAAAGCATCTTGAGCATGAAAGCATCTTGAGCATGAAAGCATCTTGAGCATGAAAGCATCTTGAGCATGAAAGCATCTTGAGCATGAAAGCATCTTGAGCGTGATGTGGCGTGCTGTAGCATGGCAGGCACACTAACCCTGGGAATGCCCGGCTGTAGCATGGCAGGCACACTAACCCTGGGAATGCCCGGCTGTAGCATGGCAGAAGCACGTAGAAGTCTCGACCAATCACGTTGAAGAGCCCCTCGTGATCCTCCGCTGCCTCCAGCTGTTGGAATGTTCAGCGAATGTTCGGGGAGCATTGGTGGTTACTCTATACTCCCAGTGTCAAACCAATCACACAGAACAGCCCAGCATGACCCTCATGAGGAGATGGGGAACATGGGGGGCAGGGGCCAATGCGCCATGGGGTGCATGGCAGGCATGAGAAAGGGTGGCGTGGTTGAGTTGAGAGCACACACACACCTGGGCGCCGAAGGTGGAGCGAGGCACGTGGAAGGGCTGGTGCGAGTTAGCATCAAACGCCCTCTCTGCCTGCAGCAGGCCCCGCCTTGTGACGTTCACCGCCCTGTGAGTGACACACGGGCAGGGAGAGACGGGAGAGAAAGGAGGGAGGGAAGGGAGGGATGGAAGGCGGAAGAGTGGAGTGAGGCACATCAAAGGCCCTCTCTGACTGCACAGGCCCCGCCTTCTGATGCTCACCGCTCTGTGATGGAGACGGAGGAAGAGAAGGAAGGGCAAGGAGGGAAGGAAGAGGGCAGGGAGGAAAGGGAGAGGGCAGGGAGGGAAGGAAGCGGCCAGGGAGGGAAGGACGGATAGAACAGGGTAACGATAAGGGCTTTCATTCTTGTATAAGCAGCCGGAGAGTGATGATGTGAGCTGGGACGACACGGCACAAGGCAACTTTCTTCAGACAGACAGACAGGGAAGCCACTCACTTGGGATAGTCGGCGAGGTAGCGAGCCATGAGGAAGCGAGCAGTGTCCATGACCCAGGTGAAGTGAAGATGGGTGTGCCGGTGAGATAGCGTAGCGCATGTCATGTATTGCTTCCAGCGCTGCCTCTGCCTGAACGCCTTCCATGCCATGGGCTCCACGGCGCCTGACACCTGCCTCCACGCCACCAGTCAGACTCGAAACTCACTTTGGATAGACGGCGAGGTATCTCGCAGTGCCCATGACCCAGGTGAAGATGGGTGTGCCGGTGCGATACAGCATGTCTTGCTTCCAGTGCCGCCCCGGGGCGAAGGCCTTCCATGCGACGGGCTCCATGGCGTCTGACACCTGCCTCCACGCCACCAGCACTCCGAACATGTCCCGCCAGCTCGTCACCAGGTCAGATCGGTCCAACATTCCCTGCCCACCACCACGGCTGCTGCTGCTGCTGCTGCTGCTGCTGCTGCTGCTGCTGCTGCTTTCCTCAGTGCCTTGAGCCACACTGCTGCCGCCGCCGCTGCTTCTGCTGCTGCTTTGATGGCTGTGGCCAGTGCGCTGCCCGCCCTGCCTCTGCTGCTGCGCCTCCTCCAGCTGCTCCCGCCACAGCTCCCGCCCCCCACTCGCCCCGTAGGCCCCACCTGCCCCACCATCCCCATTCCCCTCGTGGCCCCCAAAGAGCAAAGGGGCGATGTGCATGTGATCCGCCATGAGCAGCAGCGTGCGCCTCACCTGCTGCATCACGTCCAGCGCTGCCAGCCCTGCCATGCGCAGCTGATGGTGGGGGACGGGGTGGATGGGGGAAGAGAAGGAGAGGAGGGAGCCTCAGTTGCGTGGTCACAGGGGCAACGCGGGGAGCAGATGGTGCTGCTGCTGCAGTCGTTGCATGCACGGAGATTGGAGCTTGACAACGCACTATGCCACTGCTTGCCACACACACACGTGCGCTTTGAGTAGACTCAGAACTCACCTCACAGTCGGCATCATTCTGACTGTGCCACGCCTGTGCCATGCCATGCCATGCCATGCGGACCTGCTGGGGAGCAGCATGCCATGCCACGACAGACCATGCCATGCCATGCCATGCAATGCCATGCCATGCCATGCCATGCCAGGCCATGCCATGCCATGCCATGCCAGGCGCACCTGCTGGGCGTTATGCAGCATGCCATCGGTGTCGTAGTGAGTGCGAGCACCAATCACGTCCGCCGCTTCCACCAGCTGCACTGCCGCCCCTGACAGGCGCGGCAGTCGCTGCCACGTGGCGGCTTGCAACTGGTGCTCGGGGATCGCCAGCGGGACGAAGCCCGGCAGCTCCTCCGGCCGGCCCGCCGTCGCCCACTTGTCCTGGCGGCCATGGGGGGAGATTCGGGGGAGAGGGCGGGGGAGAGGGCGGTGCACAAGGGGTGTGGGGAGAGGAGGAAGGGGAGAGGTGGGGAGGAGAGGGGAAGAGCAGGGAGGGGAGTGGGGATGAATAGGGGAACTGGGCTATTGAAATGAAGTCCGTGGGAAAACGGTAAGCTTGATAGCGGAGGTAAACAGTTGCCCGTGAAGCTTCACAGAAGGGCAAGCCCTCCATTTCACCACCCCCATCACGCGTCCCTGACGCCTTACCCACCCTTCTCCCTCTCTCACCCTTCTCTCCCTCTCCCGCTCACACTGTTCTCTCGCCCTCGCCCTCTCACCCGCCACCCCTCACCAAGGTCGTCATTCAGCTCCCACCCGCTTTTCCCCCTCTCCCTCTCGCCCTGCCCCGCTCACCCGCCACTCCGCATCAAAGTCGTCGTCAATGCGGAAGGCAGAGAAGGGCAGGTCGAGGCGCGACACGGTGTAGGCCAGCAGGTGGCGCTGGAAGAAGGTCCTGTGGCGGTATGATGCCTGCTCGTCCGGTTGAACGGGTGAGGACAGCAGCTCGTCGTATAGCCGCATCTGGTGGGAATGGGGAGGCACGGGGCAGAAGGTGACACGGTGCATGGGATGACACGGTGTCGGCCAGCAGGTGGCGCACAGGGCATGGTGCGGCGAGCAGGTGGCGCTGGAAGAAGGTCCTCCTGTGGCGGTGTGAGGCCTGCTCGTTGGGCTGGACGGGCGAGGACAGCAGCTCGTCGTACAGACAGACGCATCTGGTGGGGTGAGTGTCAAGGATGGAGGGGAGACGAGCATGTGGCAGACAAACGGTGTGTACATGGCATGGTGTAGGTGCTGGAAGAAGGCTCTGTCGTGGTATGACGAGCGCTTGCTGGGCGCATCTGATGGGGTGAGTGTCAGGGAGGGGAGTCGAGTGAGTAGCAGACGGTGAGTGCATGGAATGTCGTCGTATGGTATGGTATCGCATGGCATGGCATGGCATGGCATGGCATGGCATGGCATGGCATGGCATGGCATGGAATGGCATGGCATAGGAACGTGGCGTAACATTGCTACATTGTGGGGGAGAGGAGAGGGAGGTCGGATGACTCACAGCAGCAGCATGTTCGCCCAGCACGTGCAGGCTGGACGCCTTGGCGTGCATGATCTCCAGGTCGCCTGGGAAAGCCTTCAGCCCCGCGTCTGCCATGCGAATGACTCCCCTGGCGAGGCCAGTCGCACATGCACACATCACACCACACACGTGGGCCAGGGCAGAGCAGACGAGACAAGGTGTGGGCGAGGAGAGGGAGAGGGAGGGCAAACATACAGAGCATTTCAAGGGTGGAATTTGAGATGAGATGATGTGGGGGGAGGGGGCGGAGGGGGAGGGGGAGGGAGAGGGGGGAGAGGTGGAGAGGTGGAGGGGTGGAGAGGTGGAGAGGTGGAGGGGTGGAGATGGGAGGGGTGGAGGGGTGGAGGGGTGGAGAGTGGAGGGGTGGAGGGTGGAGAGGTGGAGGGTGGAGAGGTGGAGAGGTGGAGAGGGTGGAGGGTGGAGGGGTGGAGGGGTGGAGAGGTGGAGAGGTGGAGAGGTGGAGTGGTGGAGAGGTGGAGAGGTGGAGAGGTGGAGAGGTGGAGAGGGGTGGAGAGGTGGAGAGGTGGAGAGGTGGTGGAGAGGTGGAGAGGTGGAGAGGTGGAGAGGTGGAGAGGTGGAGAGGTGGAGAGGTGGAGAGGTGGAGAGGTGGAGAGGTGGAGGGGTGGCCGGTGGTGGTGGTGGTGGGTGGTGGTGGTGGGTGGTGGGTGGTGGGTGGTGGGTGGTGGGTGGTGGGTGGTGGGTGGTGGGTGGTGGATGCTCACCAGTGATCTCCCAGCAGTCGCTTCTGCAGCACCAGGTTGTGATGCGTCTCCAGTATCCTGCCATGCCATGCACGTGGATTCGTCGTGAGAGAGAGAACAAGTGAGTACGCCAATATAAGCGAGTGAAACTAGAGGGAGGACGAGCATGTGCGAGTGAGGGAGGGAAGGAAGGCAGAAGAATGGACTGACGGAGCACCAGAGACAAACAGATTCTGAAAGAGAGGGTCCGGGAGGGAAGGAAGAGAGGCAGAGAGGCGGGGAGGCAGCGAGGGAGGCCGTGCGGATCAGATCAGATCAGGGCAGAGAAGCAACGAGCAGAGAAGAGCAGGGCAGAGAACGGACTTTCCGAGCTGGCTGGAGTGAGAGCAGGAATTCCCTCTCAGCCTGGTCCGTGTTGACTTTTGAGTCGACTCAAAAGCAGAGTACATACTGTCCGAGCGGGAGGCAGTGAGGGAGGGCGTGAGGATCAGGGCAGAGAAGCAAACAGCAAAGAAGAGCAGAGCAGAGCAGCAGAATACATACTGTCCGAGCTGGAGTGAGAGCAGGAGGTCGCTCTCAGCCTGGTGGGTCTCCCCCAGCAGGCGGTGCAGGCGCCCCTTCTCCTTGCGCACGTCCGCATCCCCTGGCAGCAGCTCCACCGCCCGCGCCAGGTACGGCTGTGCCGCCCGAAACTGGTTCGACCGCACCAACGCAATTCCCTGGGGGGGAAACGTGGGGAAAGAGGGGGGAGAGTGGGGGAGTAGGGAGGACGAAGAAGTGGGGTATGGGGGGGGGGGGGGGGGGGGGGGGGAAAGGGGCATGGGTGTTGTAGCGGGGAGGCAGTAGGGAGGGCGGCTGGGAGAAGCGGTGCTGAGATGCACAGGAGGAGAAGGCGTGGGTGGGTGTAGCGGAAGAATGGCTGGAGAGGAGTGGGATGACCTGGCCTGACAGTCCACCTGGGCTGCGCTGCGCTGTGCTGGGGTGCTTGTCTCGAGTCTCACCACGGCTCGGTTGAGGTGGGCATCGTTCGGCAGCATGTGCAGCGCGGGCAGCAGGTCGTTGAGGGCGTCCTTGAAGCGGAAGCAGTTGAACGCGCTCAGCCCTGCACGAGGGGGTGAAGGGGGAGAGGGGAGAGGGGGGGGGGAAGGGAGGGGGGAGGGGAAGGGGGAAGTTGGGGGAAAATGGGGAGGAGGAAAGGGGGGCAGCAGGTCTTTGAGGGCGCCCTTGAAGCGGTGGCAGTTGAACGCGCTCATCCCTGGGACGGTGAGGCACTAAAGTCGGCAGTGGCAGTGCCGAGGCACGTTCTTCTTGGCACATGCCCACCACACCCTGTCAGAACTGAGCTTGAACCGATGCATTAGTAATGAGCTCGAAGCTCTTTAAGTACAAACGAATTGAGCACGAATGGATGAGGAGGAAAATGGGGGTAAATCCTAGAGGATCGGGGTCAATTCCAAGGCAATATCCAATTGGTGGGTTGGAGACTGCTTGGTAATTTGGTTGGGATGTGGGTGTACACCCAACCAAACACAAAGTGCTAATTACACTACGCTAGGATATAAAAGTACAAGTACAAAAGTTGAGATTGAGGTCTAGCTCTAACACACCCCACCACACCACACCACAATACACCACACCTGAAAGCACTGCGCACCTGTTCACCGTGCCTCCCCTCCCCTCCCCCACGCACCTCGTCGTTTGATCGCCTCCACATTCCCTGGTTGCAGCAGCAAGGCGCAGCTGAACGCCTCGTGCGCCCTCTCGTGCTGCCCCAGCGCCTCGCGCTCCACCCCCACCTGCATCCACAGCTCTGCACTGTCGGGATTGGCGCTCACTGCCTGCGGGGAAGGAAAGGAGAGGCCAGCGAGCCACGCGATGAGATTCTTGAATCGGCCGACTCGAAAAACACCTCCATCTTCAGCTCTACACTGTTTGGGTTGGCTCTCACTGCCTGTATGGGAGGAGGGGCCAGAGAAGCACAGATTGTGATAAGATGTGGGTTGCGGGACAATCACCTTCATCCACAGCTCTGCACTGCCAGGGTTGGCCCTCACCGCCTGTATGGGAGGAGGGGCAGGAAGCACGCATGCAAAGGCTCAGGGGGAGAGCGCTTCACAGAACACAGATTGCTGTGGCGCTGCAGGGATTTTTCCCCATGCTGCGCCTGCCTCCACCCACAGCCGCGCGTTGATAATGAACTGTTTTTGAGACGTCCTATGCACAGTTCGTTTTTCCCA